TGATGGTTCTGACTCCCAAGTTAGAGTTCCGATAACCATTTCGTGAGCAGTTAGGTCCTCTGCTGACAGCCCGAGACTAGACCAGTTAGCATGGAGTTCTGGATCCTAGGATTACTTTATAATAATGAGGAGGGCTAACAGGAGCTAGTTTACTGTAAGTAGAAATTAAGGCCTATGGTTCTTTCGATGCTTCTCTACTAAATGCGATGATTTATCGAGTCCATTTCCACCATAAAGTTAGTTGACCCATCTAGTCCATCTGGAATTTTAGCTTCGGTCTCATGATTGATTTATAAATTGTTTCATATCTATTATTCTGCGGGTAAGAATCCTGACATGTCCCTTTGCATGCGTTGACAGTTTGATGAAATTCTTGGTAAAGGGGCGATGAAAACAGTGTACAAGGCGATTGATGAAGTCCTTGGAATGGAAGTAGCTTGGAGCCAAGTTAAACTCTCTGACTTGCTCCGATCAGCAGAGGACTTGGAGCGACTTTACTCTGAAGTGCACCTGCTCAGCGCACTTCATCACCCTTCAATCATGAAGTTTTACACATCTTGGATTGATGTTGAGCGAAGAACATTCAATTTCATCACTGAAATGTTCACTTCCGGAACTCTTCGACAGTAATTCTTTTTCCCCAACCCTAATTCATTGAATAAACTTATGGTTTCACCTGTACAACGAAGGTTTAAAAATTGATCTTCTTCAGATGTTTTGAAACTCTTTGGCATAAGAATATGTTTATCTTAGCTTCATACTTTGTCTGCAATTCCCACATTTGTGTTGGGAACATGAGGAATGACGAAATGAACTTATTTGACTGATTGGCCCCTTAATTGAGCGGGTGGCAGAATTTTGTCTCAGTCTTTACAATACTACGATTTCATCCATTGGGTCATGCTAGGTCCGGTTAATTTTGCAGTTTGTTTGAATTGTTAAGCATGGGAGCCATGAAATGTCTAGAGTAACCAACCTAATGCTAGAATTTTTCCAAATTGACTTGATTTTATTCCTTAATTTTCTACTGTATAGAGGCCTCTGTTTTCTTTTGTGGGCTTGCTTAGACTGCGATTTGGTCTTCCTCATGCAAGGTTATTTTCTCATTATTGTTTAGTTGGTTCTTAAATGGGTAGTGTCAAATAACACATTAACTGTTTTTTCTTCGTTATTATTGAGTTTCTATATTTCATGATAACAAGTGTCATGTGCATGATCGGGTAAAATTGCAGGTACAAAAAGAAGTATAAGAGAGTGGACATTCGAGCAGTAAAGAATTGGGCTCGCCAAATTCTTGAAGGCCTTGTTTATTTGCATGGCCATGATCCTCCAGTTATCCACAGAGACCTGAAGTGTGATAATATATTTGTCAACGGCCATCTTGGACAAGTGAAGATTGGTGACCTAGGGCTGGCAGCAATTCTTCGTAGTTCTCAACGAGCACACAGCGTTATAGGTTAGTCTGCTTCAAAAGTATACTGATTATGTGCCTATTGGACTTAAATACAAGAGTTACTAGCTGTTAATGAAGCATGTAATATGTTAACAAAGTCAGATGTTTGTCTGTTACAACTTGTAGGTCACCCAAAATCAATAGTGGATCATACATTTAGTTTTATTTCCAAGTTATGAAACTCTCTGTAACCTATGTGAGTGGCTTTTGAGGAAAACCAGTACATAAATTTGTTCACCTTTGGCAAACTTCAGGTAGCAACACATCTTAATAGACAAGGTGTGCATTAATGTTGCCTTTGCGAACTTGGACTCTTTAACTGATTGTGGAAGAATCATATTGTGCATGCTAAATAACTGATAGTGTTGTCTTTTATGGTGCTGGTAGGTACTCCCGAGTTTATGGCGCCTGAGCTATATGAGGAAAACTATAACGAGCTGGTTGATGTTTACTCTTTTGGCATGTCTATCTTAGAGATGCTTACTTCTGAGTATCCATATAGCGAATGCAACAATCCAGCACAAATTTACAAGAAAGTGACATTGGTAAAATGAGGTCAATTGGAGGATCATTTTCAATGAAAATAAATAATCTTCTAAGTACCATTTGATTTCCTTATTCAGGGAAAGAAGCCTAGGGCTTTTTACAAAGTTCAAGACTTGGAAGCTCAGCGGTTCATTGGGAAATGCTTGGAGACCGCATCAAAGAGGTTATCAGCGAAAGAACTGATGCTTGATCCATTTCTAATGGTGGATGATTTTCAAGACGGGCCTTTGAAAAGGATAGGAAGTCAAAAAGCTTTTCTCAATGACAACATTGGAATTGAGGACCTGCAGTTGAATGAGGATATACCAGAGACCAACATGACCATAACAGGGAAGTTGAACCCCGAGGATGACACCATCTTTCTCAAAGTTCAGATTACTGATAAAGAAGGTAGCTGGGAACCTTGTTGGTTCAGGAAAGATCTTTTATTCTTTGATGATTATTGGTGCTTTCCTGTAGATTGAGTGAAGGCATATAACTGTCTATTCCATCATGAGAGTAAAAAGACCAAATACAAGATTTTGGTCCTAGAGATATCCGTTTGGAGTTTCTAGAGTTTTATTTCTATAACCTTAAATTCGTTCTTTTTATGTGAAACCTGTTTTGTGGCTGTATGCTTTGCTGGCATAAAAACCCAACCGTTATTCCATCAGAGCTCAATCAACTGATTTTTTGGTGTTGTATACAGGTGCTACAAGGAATGTATTCTTTCCATTTGATATGGCAAGTGATACTCCCATGGGTGTTGCCCGTGAAATGGTGAGGGAATTAGACATTACAGACTGGACTCCATCTGAAATTGCAGATATGATAGATGCAGAGATATCTGGTCTGCTACCATATTCAAAGAAATGGGAGCATTCTCAGCCACCACGCTACCATATACTTCATTATGAGGAAGAAGAGGATCACAACCACCCTTTCGTTGATTTCTCATCTTGTTCATCATCCCAGGTCTCAATCTTAGGTATGTTCACTTTTCAAGGCATGAATGAAAATACTCATGATTTGGCATGTGTTCCACGCTATTCAATGTCAGGCATATAGCTTGAGACTTGACAGCAATAAATGGATTAACAAATAATATCCAATGTGAAATCGGGGGCAAATCACAACTTTTACAGTTACTTCTTATTATGATTTCTATAAGATGAGAAATATCGCTCAAGTAGAAACAGATATGATAAAGTTGACAACATCTCTTTTTGTAGATGAGACATTTGATGATGGCAGCTCTCAGAGCTCTTTGCACTCCGAAAAGCATTCCAACTTGAACTACTGCTCTGATGAATGTGATTCCCTGAGATTCCCAAGGCAGCAAAAGTTGCCTGCCACTTTAAGTACCCACAGTTCTTCAAGGTTCTGTCCTGGAGGGAATTCTAGCATGGCGCAATCCCTTGCTAGAATTTGCCCTTCATTGTCCAAGGGTATGCTAGTTTCACAAGTAACTTCCACAGGTAGTGGTAAATGCACAGTGGACTTGCGCAAATTGACAAGGAACAGATCCCTGGTGGATATGCGCAGCCAGTTGCTGCATCGGTCCTTAGTTGAGGAGGTCAGTAAGAGACGTTTGTCAAAGACTGTTGGTGCAGTGGAACACATAGGGTTTCAAGATCCCTGTCGAGTTTCCAAAAAGGCCTCAGGGACAGTAAATGGTGCAAGTTCTGTGAGAGTCACCGGTGATGTTAGAAGGCAGGGACAGACAACAAGAGCTTAGTTTCCCTTTTTGTCTGAGTTTGTAATTAGAATGAAGTTTCACTACTTCAACACGCACAATGGAATGTACATAAATAATGAATCAAACGAACGTGTGAAAACAATTGCCTTGATTCCAAATATGTAGTTGAAGCTCATCTCTTTGCCAAAAAGTGGTGAATCCAAGTTTGTAACCCCTCATTGTTGTAAGCTTGACATGTCATCTGGGGAGATATTTCCCTGCCGGTTTTAATTCTAAACCTGCACCAGCTTCTCAATATGTTCAACGCGACCATTACTTCCTTTTTTGAGTTTTAATGGCATTATATTAAATCATTTGTCATGCATGTTGGTCTGTGAGTCTGACAGCTTCTAGGACAGGAAGTTCCTTTGAATAAGTGGCCAAGTTTTCAGGTTCAGGTAAATATGACGGAGAGCATTCTCATGGCTTTCCGTCACTTTCTCATCAAGTAGCATCCAAGGCATTCCCCTGGCCCCGGCTTGAGGGGTCCTCCTCTCTTGCGAGGCTTCATGCCTAGAAATTTGACGCAGTAACTCTTAGATGTCATGCAACTTCACATTTTGGGAGACTGGGACCTGTTAGGACAGGAGGTTCCTTTGAACAAGTGGCCAAGACTTTTTAGTTCAGGTAAAAGTATAACCGATAGGCAATAACGGAGAGCATTTTCATGGCTTTACATCACTTGCTCATCAAGTAGCTCCCCAGGAGATGCCCCTGGCCTGGCTTAAGGGTCCTCCTCTTATCACGCGCAACTATAAATATTACAGTGATCAAGCTGAATTTGAGCCAAAGTTCGAAATTTTGCCCAACACAAAATGCTATTCGTGTTAGGTTTGACTTTAATTGACAAATTAAAATCAAGTTAAACTTGAGCCAAAGTTCGAAATTTGGTAAATTAAGATTGAGCAAACTCTATCCGGGATGAACTTGATTCAAGTATCTAAGTTGTAATTTAATTACCTTTCTGTCCTGACTAAATGTGGTCGAATACGTCTTAACGAAGAAAGTGACATCGACCAGCAAGGGTTCCATTCATTATGATCGTCATCAAGACTCGAAGAAGACGATTAGCTTAGTCAAAAAAGAAGTTCGTTTCTGCAATCCCCTCCAGCCTCCCAAGGCAAGTTCCGGGGCCACCAAGGCAATGCCCGGATGCGACACATGCACGCAATTTCCTTGTCCTGTGTCCAACCCGACTCCCCCCGAACCAGCCTTTTTCTTTAGAGATGAATTTGGAACTTCCATTTTCCTTTTGATCAGGATTTCACTGACTAGCACAATTTATTTAATTAATGGCCACGAGCACCTTTCTTTTATCCAAAGAAAAGGGCATCAATTCACTAATTTTTGGGTAAAAAATAAAATCTGGTTGCTGCCTTGGTTTATAACAAGTATAGTATAGCAGCTGAAGAGATGTTCCAGTCTCTTTTTTTTTTTTTTTTTTTTGAAAAAAGAGATATTTCAGTCTTGGAGCAACCCACGTTGTTTTTGTTTAATACGAGTATGTGGACTTCCGAGGAAGAAGACAAATTTGAGAGAGAGGACAAGGAGGTGGAGCATTGGCTGTGGTTGAAGACTTGAAGAGGCTGGTTGCTGTTGACTTTTCCCGTCTTTCGTTTTAAATTAAGATTTGGGCAAATCCACCTCAAAGATAGCAGCTTCCCTTGATTGCCTCCCGACCCGACCCGACCGTCTCGTTAATCATCAGGCATCTTGTCAATAAATCTTATCAACTAAAAATCTGTCGGAAAGAAAGAGTCGAGGCTTAGCAGAAAGTTTGCAAGACTTTACGACAGAATCCAGCAGGATTCTTAAACAACTCCAACATAAAAGTTGATGCAGCAAGTTTGATCGCCTGATCATGCGATGAAGTCAAAATGCTGGCTTTAGCCTCTTAACGGTCAAGTTTACGCAAGAGAGAGAACCATTATAAATTGATACTACCACTAGATTAATTTCATAAAAAGAGTTGAGCATATCGGAGATGTTGGGTTGGGCTTTGCCAGAGAGTCAAAAGCAGCATTCTATCTTGAACACGATGAATAACGAACCATTTATGGGGTTAGAGCATGCCGTGTTTCCATTCTGTCAATTCTGGAACAAACCCACTGCAGAATTATGCTGGTCTTGCATGCCACTAAAATTGAGCATTTATGGTGGATCCTTTCAAGCAATTATGATGTTCCGCCTTTTTCTAAAGGTCTTTTCGTTCTCTCTTGCTTTCCTGGTTTTTATTCATTTCTTTCTGGGGAACACAAATTTCCATTAATACGTGGGACTCAATAATTATCATAATAATTCAAGTCTATAAATCTGTGTTGCCTACTTTTTTGCAACTTGTGGAAGGCATGACATGCCGTTAATCAATACGTCACATTCCAGCAAATTCGTTTACGAAACCCATATTACTTTCGTCAACTGGTTGATCACATTTAATTCTCTCGGTGTGTTTGAAAAGAACCAGTCCGAAGAGTTATTTGTCATACTATTAAATAAAAAGAAAAGGACTCGTCGAGCGTGCAATAAAGGGCAGCTCCTCATCTTCTGTGTTTTCATTGATGTATGATATAAACTTTCGGAGGTGGGAGATCCTTACGGAGAGCTACTACTACGAAATACGAAGTAGTAGTAGTATACTACCTCCGTCCCACTTTGATAGTCCTGTTTTCCTTTTTCGTCTGTCCCAAATTGTAGTCCACTTTCCAATTGAAGAATGTAGTTGTATTTTAATTTTTCTAAAATGACCTTATTCAATGTAAGTTATTGTTACTATAAACCTATCCCATTTAATGAGAGTTGATTCTTTTTTTACCATCAATTCAAGTTCCCATAAAGTTATACTCTATTTAATGTGAGGGTATTTTAGGAAAATAACAATCTAAATTTACTTTTCCAATAAAGTTAACTATTTTTTCTTAAACTGTGTGAAAAAAGAAACATGATTATCAAAGTGGGACGGGGGAGTATATTTTGCTCTCATATTTTTTAGGCGAAATGGATGATCTTTATTCCATGTGAAGCAAAGGAGTCTTGTCTCTTTAGTACTTGCAGAATCTGACCCTCAAATCCATGACTTTTCCTTTGCCAAATGACCGGGTCAAGGTGCCCGGAGAGCCTTATCCTGTGCTGTGGAGTGTGGACCCGATTGTTTATGTGCCACTACTATAAAACCCAGCCCCCTTCCCCCCCAAAAAAAAGAAAAAGAAAAACCTTTTAAGTTGAAATCCCTTGTAACGAAATTAGAATGGTCCTTTCCACCAAGATGCCCGTGATTGAATAGGACGCCGAAAGGGGAATAAATTTTGTTATTTGCTAACCCTTTTGTTTTTTTGTTTTTATTAATAATAAGTGAGAGATTTTAAATTCAAAATATTTTAATTACAATCCTTATCATCTTACCACTCATCCCGACTCTTCTCAAGTTAATTACTGACCTTTTTTTTTATTAAATTACGCTCCCTCCGCTCGTACCATCAAATACATTCCTCCCTCTATTTAATTGCTAGCCTATTAATTTTTTGTTCTATACTTAATAAAACCGAGCGGGAGAAAGGAGAAAGGGTGCAAAACTTGATCGATATCTCATGCCATAGTAATAATAAAGGCAGGGATAATTTCACAAACCTTCCCCTGAGGTTTCTAACACTTGCCCTACACCCCCTGAGGTTTTAAAAATTTCACTGACCATCTTTGCTTTTGAGATTTTGGTAACAATTCAATCCAAATAAGATTAATATATTATTGTCATGACTCATGAGTGAGATGAGAGAAGATTGCAAGTCCTTAAAAGGTCAAAATAATTAGTAAAGTTGAAGGGGGGGGTTAAATGCAATTCAGAAACTTTCAAGCACCACATGGGAACTCGTACCTTGATTTCTGGTTCAAAATCACCTTCACTCCCAACACAAGAACAAATCTTCACTTTTTCCCATTTTCTTCTTCTTTTTCCTTTCTCTTCTCTATTTCTTTCCTTCTAGTTATATGGCAACGACATCAGAAATGTGTTCAATCATCCTTATCAAATTATAGCTGTCAGAAAAAATGGTGCCAAATTTCTTCATCAATTGACGCCTTTGTGTAATGGAGTTTTATCAGCTTAATAAAACATCAAAATTTTGTTATTCTAGCTAAATGTAACTACCTAATTCAGATCCGTTTGTTCCCTAAATTTAGGTTAGTAACGAGCCCTGCCTTCACAGGACAAAGTGATTGTCGCGCCCCACTTTTTGATCGAGTGAATGTGAGTGATGTGTGTGTGAAGTGTGGTGTCAACGTGTGCAAAATGAAAAGTAAAAAGGCCATGGGACTTTGGAAAGCGACGATTTGGCCAAATGAAATTTTAAAAAGGGTTTTTAAAATATGAAAAACGGAGTCGCCACTTGGTATAGATTTGGGGTGTACCAAGTCACCCAAAAAAGTGTTTTTTAAAGACAAAGTAGTAAAACCCTTTTTAAAACGACTCCTAGTCCACGTAAGCCAAAGAAAAAGGTTCGGGGGTCACGTTTGACAAAGGGGAAGGCAAGGATAGAATCCAAGGCACCCCTTTGACCTAGCCAAAGCTAGTTGCGCGACTTAACCTTACCTTTCCTAATTTTCTACCCAATATATGTTCGCACGTTGGATATGACTATATGAATGCAATACGGAAAGAAAAATGCAATCCTAAATTCTACAATGTCTCTCGTGAGGCTTTTGGTCCCAAACCACATGAATTGTGGCGGTCAACAAAGGAAAACCCCATAGAGGTCGATTAATGCAAATGAGACTCAAATGTGCAAGTGTGGAAGTGTATGAAAGAAATTAAAAATCCAAGTGTTTGTGTGCACGTGTATGAAAAGGTGCACGTATGCAATTGTATGAAAATTCCAAGTGTTCGTGTGCAAGTGTATGAAATATAGTGATAAGTGCATATAGGTGTAATTAAATGCAATTTTGTGAAGTAGAAATCAAAATGAACAATAAGGAAAGGAAAATGTGAATTGAAAAGAATGAGTGAGTGATAAATGAGAATGAATGAACCTAAGGGAATGCATCAGGTCGGGTATGGGAATGACTCCTAACTTGTCGACTTCGATTTTCCCTTTGATTAGAAGGCAAAACTAGCGTGCTAAGGCTATCGAGTAGCCACACTCGCTCGTCTCCCTTATCGGAAGGGGACTCTCAAGCAAAATGAACCCTATAGCTAGTATGGGATGCAAAACCTAAGAATGAGGGGAAAGGGGTTCGAGGATCATGCCAAATGATAAAACTAAGAAAAATGCGTGATATGTGGTGAACAAGCAAATGATATGCTAATGAGGGGAAATCCCTAAGGGTCTAGCATTGGACTAGCCCATTCTATGAATTCCGACTAGCATTGGACTAGCGGAAACGTACATTCATCAATTCCATTCATTCATGGCCATGAAAGCAAGTAGACATGCCAAAATACTCGTAAACACATAGCACATAGCATTTAACATGCTCGACTAGATGCAAGAGCCTAATAAAGCAATTAAACATGTAGCAACAAAAACAAGCAAGCAAGGGGAAGGGGAAGTGGACCAGATGCTCTCCGAGCCCTATCTATTACAAGCCAAGAGCTGTACACATACCCCATAAAAGCATAAAGGGGAAGGGGAAATGGACCAGGTGCTCTCCGAGCCCTATCTATTACAAGCCAAGAGGTGTACACATACCCCATAAAACTTAAATAAAATAAAAAGCAAGTAAATGCACGCAAGGAGGTAAGGAAAGCGGAGTAGGCATGTATATTCACATAGCACATTGGATCACATAGGGTCAAATGAAGTGCAAATGAGGGATAGAGTGTACCTCCCTTGGAATTGAGTCCAAATGAAGTGAAATTATTCAATTACCCTCCAAAATAATAAACAGGTCATGTCACCACTTTATTTAAGAAAAATCATATGAAACAGAAATTACACACAAAAATGGAAATTAAGCATGAAATAAGCATTAAACATGGAATAAATCGTGCAAGTGCAGGCGAACTCAGCCCCAGATGAAAGGTTCCAAAATCCTACGATGAAGTTCTAAATTGAATGGATTAAAGTGGACAAAACTTGGCTTGGGCTAAATCCATCAAAACACAAGATTAATGCACCCATTTAAAAGCAAAATATGAACAGGACAATTTGAATTCACCAACTCCTTCAAAAAATAAAATCAAGACACCACAAGTAGCTAGGAAGTTTAACCATCAAATCCCATCAAATGACCAACACGAGTCCATATTCATCAAATGAGATTCCAATTTGAAAAGGAAAGAAAATTCGAAGGATGAAATTGATTGATCTTTTCAAATGCTTGGGCCATGGTAGAATAAAGGGAAACTTGGGGAATTAAAGGGCAATCTTCATTTCTGTTTGCATGCATGCTACGAATGCCAAGCTTTCCTTACTTCTGCTATTTTTGCTGCAAAGTTTCGGCAGCTTGATAACAAGCCAGAAAAATGACCAAAACATTATAAACAGAGCACAAACTTCATCCATTTCTCTATAACCCACATTGACATGAATTTTATGTATGCAAACCAGAATTTGAACCAAGATTTATGCTAAAAGGATTCGGCAGCTAAAGCAGTTTTTTACAATAAATTTTCTGCTGCACACTTGCATTTTCAGCTCACGCAAATGAAGATCGCACAATGGCTCAATCACTTAGTTACCAAAACCACACACATCTCCCAAACATAATCATCCATCCCCATGAGATTTAATTAAAGCCACCAGGCATGAAATGCAGCAAAGCAACGTGGGTTTTAGCAGCAATTTCGCTTGACCAGAAACGTTCCCAAAGGTGTTGTTAGCAACACACAACTGCACCTAACTACTCTCAACGTGTCCAATAATGCTCTTCATACGAAAAATGCAACCCAAATGCAAAGCAATAAATTCAATAATAATGAAATGATCACTGCTGCAACAAAAAATGGAGCAAAACCTGTTGTTCGAAGCAGCTTTGCTCGAAAAAGTTCATATTTCAGACAGAAACATGCAGCTTTGCTCAACAATTCTCAACCAAAATCATAATTTTTAAACTAAACAACAAGACACTTGGCTCGGTCATCCAAACACACAAGCAAACGTAACAGAAATTGGTGCAAAAAAATTCTGGACAAACATTCGTGTGACAGTGGCTTAGCAACCTGAAATTTACTTTTTTCATCAAGCATTTGAACATGATTCAAGCATTTCAGTCTCTAAAGCATGCAAACCCAACACCAAATCATTCCATTTCTTCCATTCTACATAAGATTAAGCATGCCACTTAAATGCAAAAGCTCAACGAATCAGCCACAGAGGAGAAAACATCGCAGGAAAAATTGTAGTTTCTTTTCCTTTGCTGCAAATTTCATAGCCTCAAACTTGCGTAGGTTGTTGTGTTAAACTCACCATTTATTCATCAAGCTCACACACATCTTTAAACATACATCTTAACATAGTTTAAGCAGGATAGCCTATCCCTTAACCATCCCAACCAGTAGGAACCAAATCAAGAAAACGAGAAAACACAAGGGGATGCAGCAAAGCAAAAACATAGCTTGCGATAAACTTGGATAGCCCATTGCGGTCAAAATGAATATTTCGGTCAGGACAAGAAACTCCAGCATAACGCAGGAAAAAGAGACTAATAACATGGTACTCTGAAAAGGATTAGCAAATAAAAAATCAGCGAGTAAAAGAAAAGAAAGGCTACCAGCGCTCCCTTGAATTGCAGAAAAATGGCATCAGGATGGAGGAACAATCAACCTCAGCGTAAGCCGAATGAAGCTAGAAAAAATTCCATCTTTTTACTGCAACTCCTTTACAGATTCGGTACCACCTCTCTTCGCGCTGAGTTATCCCCACGATGAAGCTTTTTCCTTTTCCCTTAGCTCTTCTGCTCTCTAGCTTTCCAGTTTTTCGTTCACCCTCGGTTCTGCCTTAGCCCCAGAAAAGCTTGCAAGCTGCTAACTCTCTCCCCGTATCCCACACTCTTGGTTTCTTGGACAAACCCTCTTGCTTTTGTCCTCTGTTTTTTCTTTCTTTCCGATCCTCTCCCCCGTCACCCCTAGCCGCCACTCCAGATTTTTCACACTCTCTGCCCGTCACTTTTTCCTCGTTTCTTTTCTTTTTGCTTTTGTTTTCCAGAATCTCCCCGTTGGTTCTAGCCTCTCTCTATCTCCCCCAAACTCTCTCCGTCGCCCCTCTCTAAACCCTCCGGTTTCCATTTTTCAGATTTCCTCCGTCACTCTTTCTCTCTCCCTCCCTGGCGGCTGTCCCCTCTTTTTCTATTTATACCAGAAACCCCCTCCTAAACCCTTAACAACTTCCTCTCTATTTGCAGCTAAGGAACTGCTTCAAAGTTCCTTTGCAAGCTGCAAAAATACAGCTTGCATGCACGTATCTAGCTTTTTTTTTTTTTTTTTTTGTGATTTTTCTTTTTTTTTCAATTTTTCATCTTTCCCTTTTTCCTTCAAGAAAACATGGAATTTAAATCAAAACAACTAAAACATATTTTTTGAATGCTTTTCCTTTTCCTTTTTCTTCTTTTTCGAGAAATTCTATGCTAAAAACTTACAAATAAAAATAATAAAATAAAAACTAAAAAACTAAAAACTAAAAAGTGAATAAAACTTAACACGACAAATAAAAATTAAGACAAAAATAGTAAATGCAAATTACACTAAAATTTTGGTGTCTACAGTGATAATTTCAGCCATCATGACGTAAGCAAAGCGCTCCAAATATCTGTCAGCTGAGGCCAGTGAAATTTTCAAAACCTCACGCAGTGTCAATGCTAGTGTTTTAAACCTTTGGGCAGTTTGTGAAATTATTCCATAAAGGTGTGATGGACGCATCACGCATGGTATCTGATCCTTGTCCCTAACGTGTTAAAAAGCGTAATACGGAAGCTAAAGCGTAAAAGCAGCGCAGCCAGCTGACCTCATTTTTCTCTCTACCAATTCAGTTCAAGGGATACATCGCATTTTGCCACATTTTCACAAAGAAAAGAGAAGTGGTTTTATCTAACAGAAATGCCTCTTGTTTTGGCGCCGCAGACATGCTTCAAGCAACCCTCCCGATTATGCCGGGGGGTTTCCTTTCTTTTCTTCTAATTTGTCTCGTCGGTTCGGGTCATTTTTTTTTTCTCAATTTTTTTTTTTGGGTCTTCAATTTTCTTCCGTTTCGCCTGTCTCCAATCATTGACCCTTGCAAAGGGGAGAAGAAATCAAACATGCCCTCCTACCTCCCCCCCCCCCCCCCCAAAACAACAAACCCCGCCCCCATACCCAAAAAAAAAAGAAAAAAAAGGAGGGAGAGAAAAAAGTCCTAGTACTAAAATTGCAGAAAACATAACATAAACAACAGGAGTAGTTAGTTGGCCACAAGTAATAAAGGGACAAAACACCTCTAAGCGAATTCTTAGACAC